TCAAAATGATGAATTGTTTGATCTAGTTCCGCCCCTTCCTGTTACAGCTTCTGTCAAAATGACGGATGCTGACAGTTTGTTTAATCGTTTGAAGTTTGTTTGAGATGTATTGGACTTTGTTGTAACAGTTACAAAGCGATGGATTGTTATTTTTTAGCGCATCCCCTCGCTATGCCTAAGCTTATCATAGCAGGTGTGTGTGAAAGTGATAAGAAAAAACTGTTATAGTTTATCTGACACAAACGTAAAAAATAAATGTATTCAGTGAAGCATTTCCGATTAAAATTGTCACGATACAATTTACAAAAGTGGAGAGGAGGACTCAAGTGCAGTGAAGGGATGATTTATTAACTAAATAAAACAAAACACAAAGCAAAAACCCACAAAGGGGAAAACACAATAAATGAAACATAAAACAACACTGAACTAGGAGAACCAATACTGACTAAGAACATGACGACCATCACAGGGAAACCGGGGTGACAAAAGACAAAGATCCGACAAAGACAGCAAACAAGAGGAGACTTAAAAAGGGAACAAATCAAGAGGGGACAGGTGGAACAACTCAAACACTAATCAGATAACAAGGGGGAGGGATCAACAATCAAAACAGCACATGGCACAACATAACAAACACCCATGTGCAACACAAGACAGGACAGGCATGTGACATAACCCCCTCCCTACGGAGCGGCTACCAGACGCTCCATCAGGCTAGGGCGGGGCAGGAAGGAAACATCAGGGTGGAACGGAAGGGACTGATTGGAGGGACTGAAGGGATAGACCAGGGCGGGACGGGAGGAACAGACCAGGGCGGGACGGGAGGGAAAGACCAGGGCGGGACAGGAACATCGGGCGGCCAGGGCGAAACAGAGAGTCCATAGGGCGGTGAGGGAGAAACACAGAGTCCATAGGGCGGTGAGGGAGAAACACAGAGTCCATAGGGCGGTGAGGGAGAAACACAGAGTCCATAGGGCGGTGAGGGAGAAACACAGAGTCCATAGGGCGGTGAGGGAGAAACACAGAGTCCATAGGGCGGTGAGGGAGAAACACAGAGTCCATCGGGCGGCCAGGGCGGCGAAGAGCCCTCGGGCGGCCAGGGCGGCGAAGAGCCCTCGGGCGGCCAGGGCGGCGAAGAGCCCTCGGGCGGCCAGGGCGGCGAAGAGCCCTCGGGCGGCCAGGGCGGCGAAGAGCCCTCGGGCGGCCAGGGCGGCGAAGAGCCCTCGGGCGGCCAGGGCGGCGAAGAGCCCTCGGGCGGCCAGGGCGGCGAAGAGCCCTCGGGCGGCCAGGGCGGCGAAGAGCCCTCGGGCGGCCAGGGCGGCGAAGAGCCCTCGGGCGGCCAGGGCGGCGAAGAGCCCTCGGGCGGCCAGGGCGGCGAAGAGCCCTCGGGCGGCCAGGGCGGCGAAGAGCCCTCGGGCGGCCAGGGCGGCGAAGAGCCCTCGGGCGGCCAGGGCGGAGCAGGCCCCTCTGACGGCCAGGGCGGTGAAGCCCTCTCAGTACCAGACACCGGCTCAGGGACAGACACCGGCTCAGGAACAGACACCGGCTCAGGAACAGACACCGGCTCAGGAACAGACACCGGCTCAGGAACAGACACCGGCTCAGGAACAGACACCGGCTCAGGAACAGACACCGGCTCAGGAACAGACACCGGCTCAGGAACAGACACCGGCTCAGGAACAGACACCGGCTCAGGAACAGACACCGGCTCAGGAACAGACACCGGCTCAGGAACAGACACCGGCTCAGGAACAGACACTGGCTCTGCCTCCGGCTCTGGAACCGGAATTGGCTCTGCCTCTGGAACAGGCATTGGCTCAGGAACAGACACTAGGACAGAAACAGTCACAAGGACAGACACAATCACAGACACAAACACTGGGTCCGGAACCGACATGGGCTCCGGCTCAGGAACAGGCACTGGCTCCGCCTCCGGCTCAGGAACAGGCACTGGCTCCGCCTCCGGCTCAGGAACAGGCACTGGCTCCGCCTCCGGCTCAGGAACAGGCACTGGCTCCGCCTCCGGCTCAGGAACAGGCACTGGCTCCGCCTCCGGCTCAGGAACAGGCACTGGCTCCGCCTCTGGAACAGGCACTGGCTCCGCCTCTGGAACAGACAGAATGTGATCAGTCTCTCGCTGGGCAGACGGGACGTGAACAGTCTCTCGTTGGGCAGACGGGCATTTCCTCCTCCTCCGTCCGTGACGGCGAGAAGTAAGTCCTGAGCTGTCCCTCAATTGCCCGGAATCAAAAAGGGCCCCGGATGGAGCGTGGTGTTGAACCACTTCTCGACCCTCTCGTCCTCCCTTACAACCTCCCCGGGTCCCTCGAAAAATGATCAGGCGAGTCCCCCGAAAATCTCTCCTCTCCTGCTCCGTGGCTGGGGAAGAGAATCTCGAAAAACCCCCGCTGGACCCAGGGTTAGGCGGAGTCCTTCTGTCACCATAGGTGGACGAAAATTGGGTTGACCCAAATGTGGCGATGGTGTAATCCGGGCAATCCAAGTAATCGTCATCCATATAATTGTCATCCAGATTCGCCCAGTCAAACTCCTCATCCTCCATGCTGCTGAGTCCTCAAGTGGTCGGATCTTTCTGTCACGATACAATTTACAAAAGTGGAGAGGAGGACTCAAGTGCAGTGAAGGGATGATTTATTAACTAAATAAAACAAAACACAAAGCAAAAACCCACAAAGGGGAAAACACAATAAATGAAACATAAAACAACACTGAACTAGGAGAACCAATACTGACTAAGAACATGACGACCATCACAGGGAAACCGGGGTGACAAAAGACAAAGATCCGACAAAGACAGCAAACAAGAGGAGACTTAAAAAGGGAACAAATCAAGAGGGGACAGGTGGAACAACTCAAACACTAATCAGATAACAAGGGGGAGGGATCAACAATCAAAACAGCACATGGCACAACATAACAAACACCCATGTGCAACACAAGACAGGACAGGCATGTGACAAAAATTGTAAACAGTTAAAAATGTATTAGAGTTGAATAATATGAAACATACAGTTTATGTAAAACCTCACCCCAAAAAGTTAAAAATAAAATGATCTCCCTCTGCCTCAAAACATAGGGAGCGCGTGTCTGTGTATTTCCCCCTCCCTCCCACTCTCACTCCCACATTGCTTGGGACGCTGGAATTTTATCTGACTAAAGTTGAAAAAGCATTGTGTTAATTTTAAATTATATAAAATATATAAAATAAAATATATAATACAAAATAAATGTCTTACTGAACCAATTATTTCAAAATAAATAAATAAATACATCTTGCATGTTTTACAGAGTTGGAAGAAAAAAAATCACACAGGTAGTGCCTGCCAGCATGGACAGGGTGCGTGACAAATAAGTGATATCATCGCTGTTTTCGTGTAATAAATTACTTTTAATTCATAAGACTTATTTTCAGGAGTGACAGTTATCAGTGAAATATGGCGCTCGTGTAATCAAAAGGTCTGCCTAGCCCCTGGGAATGTGAATTGGCCTTGAACCTAAACACTTCCATTCATAGAGTACTGAAAGAATATAGTGGACACAGCTCCGCCGTTTTCCCATAGTTTTACTGTAAAAGGCGATAAAATAGCCAAGACACATGGACGTGTGCCATACCCCATGTCTGGACCAAAAACTTTTGCACCTTTGACCACCTCATCAAAAATGCAAAACAGTGAGTATTTTCTCTATAATTAATTTATTCTACGCTGTTTTAAACAATGCTATTGCTGTTTATCTGTATTATGCAATGATGTTTAATTTGAAAAATTGTTTATACATAAGAAAAAGACGGTATAATTCATTAGTGTTTTAAATAGTCTAGGCTATGTATTTGTTTTATCCGCATTATGCTATTGGTATTTTTATCTGCTGTAACTGGGGATACAGATATTTTTATCTACTATATTAATTTATCATAAAGTATGATTTTAAAAATGTACAACATTGTTTATGTTCATTATGCTATGGTTTTTTAAACCATATCGCAAAAGTATCAGTTTAATATGACTGTTTTACAGCAATGTTTATTTTGCATTATGCTATGTTGTTTTAACTGTTGTATTTTTTATCTGATGTAACTAAAATCTGCAACATCGTGTATTTAAGCGGTGGGATTTCCATAAAGGACCTTAAAATAAATGTTTTGGATTTTATTCAGTTTTAAATCTTATTTAGATTATTTTAGTCAGACATGCTTATATGTGCATAGGCCTATTTTATTCCTCTTCAGTTACTTACTTTTTAAATTTTGGTAGGCTACTTTTTAATTCTTCTTTTACTCTGTCTTTGATTTTAACTTTTAGCAATTTGCATGATAAATTGTTTAACATGTAAGCTATATGAATGACACTGTCACAATGTGATAAGCAAAACATATAAAAGTCAAGTCAAAGCTATTTATATAGGCTAGTGCTTTTCATTGGCATTTAAAATAACATGGTCTTTCCTTCTCTCTCTCTCACAGCAAACACTGCAGGACAATCAGGCATCCAAGTAACATGTTAGTATGGTTTATATTTTATTTTTAATGAGAAAACATTATAGAGTCCAACAGGCGGTTTCTGGAAGTAAAAACATTTACTTTCTCCATACGGAAATTAATTTGAAAGACAGACCTACTGTGAGCTAAGAGGCTGTTAATACATGGTATTTGCTTCTGATAAAGCCTTCAGCTTATTTTTTTTTTGTAAATAATCGTGTTTCACAGTTGAACTCCTGGTGAAAACTACATTACCCATGAGCCATGATGCTGTATTGAAAATTATGTCGAACATAGTTTAAAAAAAAAAAGCAACACACTCCAAAATAGCTCTGCCCACTCCCATGAAGCACTGCGAATGACATAATCTCGCTACCCTCTCAAAATACTGAAATGTTTGTATAAGCTATATGTGCATATTTTGCATAATTTATATATAAATATATATATTTTTAAATCACTGTGGGAAATTAGAATGAAAAAGGGGGAGGCACTGTTGCACTCTATGTATAATAAACAATTGACAGATGAACTGACAGATATTTTATGTAAACAGGCAAAATCTCTGCATCTGATGATGGCCGTGTGTTTTCGCCGATCATAACTGGTTTAACTCTTGGCTCCTTTGAGATCAATATGACTTCTGCCAAATCAAATGTGCCGGCAAATTGTAAGTGTAATACACGAGAAACTATTAAAACAGTTTTCGCCTATGTAATGTATAAAATTAATCTTAATTAATCAGTCGTAGTTAACTATTTGGGACCAATTTTAAGGAAGGTTACATTCTTGTCTAACAGTGTCATGTGCAAATTTGCAATACAGAATTTGTTTGTGTTTTTGGTACTATTGGATTGGGCTTTGTAGAATTTGCCCAGATGAATTTATTTTATTTAGTGTCATGCTCCTGGATTATTCAGACTCAGAATTGTAACTATTACTATAGCCTTTATCAGCCATTTATTTTACTGCAGACTTATCAAACTTATTTATTTACTGCAGATTTGATCAAAGGCACGAATTAACTCAATTCATGGCAGCAATAAAAAAAGAAGAAAAAAATGAACAATTGACAGATGAACTGACAGATATTTTATGTAAACAGGCAAAATCTCTGCATCTGATGATGGCCATGTGTTTTCGCCGATCATAACTGATTCAAGCTCCTTTGAGATCAATATGACTTCTGCCAAATCAAATGTGCCGGCAAATTGTAAGTGTAATACACGAGAAACTATTAAAACAGTTTTTGCCTATGTAATGTATAAAATTAATCCTAATTAAGCAGTCGTAGTTAACAATTGGGACCAATTTTAAGGAAGGTTACATTCTGGTCTAACATTGTCATGTGCAAATTTGCAATACAATTTTTTTTTAATGTTTTTGCTACTTTTGGTTCGAGTTTTGTAGAATAAGCCAAGATTCATTTATTTTATGTGGTGTCATGCTCCTGGATTATTCAGACTCAGAATTGTAACTATTACTATAGCCTTTATTAGCCATTTATTTTACTGCAGACTTATCAAACTTATTTATTTACTGGAGATTTTATCAAAGCCAAATACTGCCCAAAAGGGGATACTGGGAAAGAAGAGAAACAGGTTAATACAAGGTTAGATTCAATCTTTATATTCTTTCCCGTTTTGCCTTCATTTTCCTTTTCCTGTTACTGTTTTAATTTTTATATTCTCAGATCATCAAAGGTTTCTGAAAGCAAACACCAGTCAGTTGGTTAAAAAAAGTGAAGAACATTAATCCAATAATTGACCATCTTGATTGCTCAATGAATCAGTTACAAATGTGCGAGTGAATCCAACACACCAGTTGAAGATGAGGGAACTGCTGGACTGTGTGAATTGTGAAAGCATTGCCAACGACCTGGTCAACGCTTTGTTCAAGCATGAAGAATCTTTAATGAAGAAACTGTAATAACAACTGTTGTAGCCTATTGTTTGGCATTATGTACTTAAACAGTTTTTTTTAAAAAGAAATGTTTTTAATAATTGATTGGTGATGGAGTTTTAATTTTTGTATTGAGAACCAAGTATATTGTACAAGTAAGAAGATACCAAACTGGCCATATAATGATATATTGCACATAATAAACAATGGCAAAGTTTGTATTCCTTAAAAAACAGACAATGTTTGAGAACCCTAATATTGGTGTAATCTTTGCTCGGTCTCACCCTCACGCTGATCCAGGCATAGCTTTTTACTAAAAGAAAATATTATGTAAGTCATTATCAAACTATTTTATTTATTAATATTAGGGTTTCCTGCTGATTTAAAGTTTTTGTTTGTTATTAACTAATACCTTTATTTTTTTACATCCAGCACAAATTTTTTCAAAAATTGTTCTCTGACCCCAAATAAACAGATAATGGAATGTTCACAAGCTACATTTAGATATTCTCCTGCTTAGTATGTGTGTAAATAGTAGTGCCTAAATGTTTGGCTGTATTTTGTCACACCGTAGTGATGCAAAGTTTCACACTCTTGTAAAGACTATGGTCTAACTGTAAAACATAATCTTTATACATGAATTCAAAAGACCAAATCACTAAGAAAAGCACCGTTTATAATAATATATACACAAAAGTTCACAAATTATGGTTTTATTACTATTACTATTCAGATACCAGACGACACTGGTTCACATTTTGAATGTGTGTCTGTTTTAGGTGTGACTTTTCTTTGAGAGCCGTCAACATTCATTGTTTATAGGAATAAATGAACATTAATTCCCCAGATTAATTAGTGTTTGTACTCTGATGTATTTCTGTTTGACTAAATTGCAACTTTCCCTCTATCTACGATGTGGCATCACACAAAGTATTAACATGCTGTTAATATAAGCAAGTATTACTTGAGTTACTTACTTATAAGTAACTATTAACACGAAAAGCAAGTACATGCTGTTTTACACGTAAACTATTACAACAGAATCACATATGACTATTGCACTAAGAGAGGCGTATTCATTAACACTGTTAAACAAAGTTCGGTGTTTAAAATTAAAATTGCACAAAAGTAAATGCTAGTGATCAACTTGCTAAAACGTAAATACAACATGAGCCATACAGAAAAGCGATTCGTGAGCAGTTTTGAAAGTTTGTAATTGACATCATGTTTCTTTTTGTACCGTTTCAAAAACTATAGTCTACGAACGTGGTCAAACATAGGAATTTATGAAAAACATGAACAGATATTTCTACATGAGATATTTATTTTAGAACATCTTTCAGCTATGTCTACGAAACATCGACATGAAAGATGAGTATTGCTGTTACCTATAAAACTATTATACTTCAAACTCGTCTACCTATTGCCCATTTCACAGCACAGTCATAGATACATCGTTATGTTGTGTATGTCGCTAAACAACGGTTAAGCTAATGAATTACCGTTGAAAGGCGGGATGATTCATTTTTTTAATCCATCTACACCGATACTTTGACACAAGAGTTTTAGGCAGGGGTCTTTTAGGAAAACAGACGTTGTGTTTTATGTCTTAATAATCGTTCTTCTTTTTATGAAAAGTAAGCAGTTTTGTGGCCTCGTCATCAAAAATGTTTTAACATATTGTAAATATCAATTGTTATATAAATTATATGTGAAACACGCTCAGTCCCATTAGAGTCGGATTCTTGTTTATATTGAACATTGTTATTGAACCGCTAGTGTTCTTAAATTGTTTACCACGGTTTAATTTTTAACAACACTATCGTAACACTTTTCGTATTTTGTACGATGTTTTCTTTACACCCATGGATATCCGTTTCCTACGGTTAGCTGTAATGTTAGTGAACTCTAGGCCTTCTCTTTTTTCATATACGACAGTATTTGCATGAATTGGCTTGATTTAATAAAATGATGGTTTAAACCACAGTGTAATTTTATACCATCCTAGTTTTTAAATATCTCTTAAATTTTATATTTTAACCCTTTATGCGAATGCGAATATTTTCGGCCTACATTAACGACGTGGCCCTGGCCGCAGGTGACTGTTCGATACATCTATATGCAGATGACACTATTCTCTACACCCACGGCCCATCTATGAATATCGTGTTAGACAACCTCCAAGTGAGCTTCAGTAGCATTCAACACTCATTTCGTGGTCTTCAATTAAATTTAAATTCCAGTAAAACCAAATGTATGATCTTTAACCGATCTCTCTCTTTACCTTCTTATACAACAAAAATTTCCACCCTGGACGGTTTTGCATTGGAAATCGTTGACACTTATAAATACCTAGGTATCTGGTTAGATTCTTCACTCTCCTTCCATACCCATATTAGCAAACTCCAATCTAAAATAAAATCTAGGATTGGTTTTCTTTTTCGTAACAGGGCCTCTTTCACTATCCCCGCTAAACATGTTCTCGTGAATATGACTATCCTACCTATCTTAGACTTTGGCGATGTGGTATACAAATCTGCCTCTAACACTCTTCTTGGAAGGCTAGATGTATTATATCACAGTGCTATACGTTTTGCTACCAATGCCCCCATTTAGTACTCACCATTGTAACCTCTATACACTCATTGGTTGGCCTTCCCTTCACATCCGACGACAAAGACACTGGTTTTATTTTATTTATAAAATTATTTTAGGCAAAGGTCCTACCTACTTGAGAAACCTCATTTCGGTAGCTTCTCCCTCTCGTAACCTGCGATCAAACAGGTTTATTTCATTAACAACTACCAATGTCCGCACTTCCTTTGGCCGTCTTTCTTTTCAATTTTCTTCTGCTGATGACTGGAATGATCTCCAAAAATCCCTAAGGCTTGAAACTCTTGTACCAGTATCTGGTTTCAAACGATTGATATCTAACCTATTGACACACCACTGCTTATGTTAGCATTACCATTTTCTCCTCTGTGCAAATTAGTCCAATTACTTATTTGTCTTTTTCTTCCTGCATTGTTATTCGTCAATAACGATTACTGCACTTTACTTTTCACATAGTTCAATTATTTATAATGTTTTTATTATTGTCCCACTAGGGAAACTGTCTGGCTATTGTACTCCGACTTACCTTTGTACGATGCTCCATTTGACTGAACATCTGTTTGTAACCTGCATTACATTGTTTACATTTGTCTTTATGTGTAACTTTATGTGTCTGCACCTTGACGCTTTATCTTGGCCAGGTCGCCATTTTTAATGAGAATGAGTCCTCTATGTGCTAACCTGGTTAAATAAAGGTTAAATAAAAAAGTGTCGTATACAAACAAAGAGATGCCGAGAAAAGCAAGAGTTTGCTAGCATCACGGCTAAATGTAGGAAACATTGTTTTCCTGACAAAGACAAATATTTTCTACATCGTCTGGTATCTGAATAGTAATAGTAATAAAACCATAATTTGTGAACTTTTGTGTATATATTATTATAAACGGTGCTTTTCTTAGTGATTTGGTCTTTTGAATTCATGTATAAAGATTATGTTTTACAGTTAGACCATAGTCTTTACAAGAGTGTGAAACTTTGCATCACTACGGTGTGACAATGTCACGGTGTGGGTTTTGTGTTTTGTTCCTTGTTCTTGTCTGTCATGTGATTCCCTGTTTGTCATGTTATCCTGCCATGTGTCTTGTCTTTTGTCATGTTGTTGCTCAGTGTCCACAGGTGTTCCTCGTCTATGTCTATTAGTCTCCCCAGGTGTCTCTTATTAACCACGCCCCCTTGTTATCTTGTTTAGCTTGTTTGTCTGTGTATTTAAACCCCTGTGTTTCAGTTGTTGGCTGTCGGTTGTTGTTTAATGTTACTACTGTCTTGTTCTGAGTTCCCTGGATTTCCTGTTTGTTTCTGTTTAATTAAATGTGCTTGCGATTGGATTCACTCTCTGTTTCATCATTCCTGCCTAGAGCGTAACAGAACAACCGACCGCCAATGAATCCAGCAGCACGGATCTCGTCTGATCTTCCCAGCATGGACCGGGAGTTTGCTGGGAAAACCGCGGCCTTAGCCCTGAACAGCCCGGATTTGTTTCAGTTTACCTGGGGGTTTGCTGCACTTGCTGCCTCATGCACCCTAGGGAATGAGGCTATAAAATTGTGTTACCGGCTGGGGGCTAAGGCGGTCAACCCTAGGGAGCTCCCCGATCTCTCTGGCCTGGATTGGAGAGAGGCACTCTCCAGTTGTCTGGAGAGCTTCAGCCCGGGGTACGCCAGGCCTTCAACACTGGTCCCAGTTCCGGTGGTTCCGAGTCCGGTGGCCCGGAGGAGGAGGAGAAAGGCCTCCTCAAAGACCGTCCAGCCAGAGACCGTCCAGCCAGAGACCGTCCAGCCAGAGACCGTCCAGCCAGAGACCGTCCAGCCAGAGACCGTCCAGCCAGAGACCGTCCAGCCAGAGACCGTCCAGCCAGAGACCGTCCAGCCAGAGACCGTCCAGCCAGAGACCGTCCAGCCAGAGACCGTCCAGCCAGAGACCGTCCAGCCAGAGACCGTCCAGCCAGAGCTTCACGTCAGCCACGTCCAGCCAGAGCTTCACGTCAGCCACGTCCAGCCAGAGCTTCACGTCAGCCACGTCCAGCCAGAGCTTCACGTCAGCCACGTCCAGCCAGAGCTTCACGTCACTTCTGCCCAGCCAGAGACTGTTCACGTCACGTCTGCCCAGCCAGAGACTGTTCACGTCACGTCTGCCCAGCCAGAGACTGTTCACGTCACGTCTGCCCAGCCAGAGACTGTTCACGTCACGTCTGCCCAGCCAGAGACTGTTCACGTCACGTCTGCCCAGCCAGAG